TCTCTCTCTCTCTCTCTCTCTCTCTCTCTCTCTCTCTCTCTCTCTCTCTCAAGCAGTTGTGCCTCCACCCCACCTCCAATAAGATCGATTTAGATCACAGCCAGACTGTCTGCCAAAAAACAAGACAATCGGCAATTGCGGCTACTACAGTCGCTGGCGTCTATTGCGGCTACCTAAACGAGCAGTCACAGCTGGCATTTTCCTATCTAAGTCCAAATTGTACAACAGCCCCAATTTTCGGAACCTGGATAAGGTAAAAAAAAAAGCAGACAACAACGAGGGGGGGTGTCATCCTCCGCTGCATTGTTGGGAGCTCAGTCGCTCGCTCCCTCTCCAGCCAACGGCCAACCAGCCGCTTTCACTCGCCAATATCAAACTGGTACTGAGCGAAACTACGACTGTCTGGTTACCCATAACGACTCAAATCCAGCTTAGCCCACCTCACGTAAAGAGAAGACTACCATTGTGGTCCACACGTCGGGTGCGGCTTTTGCGCCATGCACATCGTCCGCCATTCAGCAGCCCGTCACTTCCTCTGCACCCGCCACCAACTGACGAGCCCTGGTTGGTAAAAGCCCCCGTGACCTTGTCAAGTCGAGAAAGTCGGCCACACTAAAGACGAGACGGCCAGCGTGGTGGAAACAACACTCGTGCGCCATCGTGCACACACATCATTCAACAGGCTGCATGTACGTGGGTGTGAATCATTTGCCAGGCAAAGATATTGCAGTACAGAAGGAGACGAGGGGGAATATTTGACCGTGGTAAAAACTTAAAAGCCAATAAATTGTTACTGCCAGATTCGTTCGAGAAAGATTCGGGAAAGATTCGGGGAACGGCAGGGCAAAAAAAACGTTTAAGAAAAGATACGGGAAGGATTTGCAAAAGGCTTGGAAAAAATCTGGAGAAGATGGAACAGTTTAATAGAGGATGGAATGAGATACCCAAAAGCTGTACAAGACCAGTGGTGAGCCTTCCGCAAGTATCGCCGCCTTCCACATGTATTTGTATATTATTATATCTGCCCGTTTGCCACGTCAGCTTAACATAGGCCAATGGATAAGGCACAGAAGTGTACAGGGAATTGATGCCGATCATTCTCTTGACTCGCAGTTAGGCAATCTGCAGGATCACTAACACTTTCCATGATTCACTTTGCAGCCGCAACATTTTTTAGAGAAAGTTTAGAAGAGAAGAACCAGGAAGTAGTAGCCGCCACTGAGTACCAAAACGAAGGATTGGTGTCCTCCCATGTTCCGCCAAGAAAAATCACAGCATGGGCATGCAATTGCATGCACGAGGCCATATACAACCCGACTCCTGCCGCTCTGCCTCTGTGTCCACCTGCAGTGAGTCCTCTTCTTCTCGTTTCTCTCCCTCTGGCGTCCCTTACATAAGAAAGCGGAGATCAAGGCTCTGGCCGCTGCGGTGCTGGCTCCGCTGGAGGAGGAGGAGCAATTGTGATTCTCATGCTCCTGCCTTGCTCAGACTGCAATATCAATGCCATCTCCGCTGCAGCCTCTGCCGCAGCAATTGCTGCCTCCTGCTCACCACAGCCCGTAACATTTAGCAACACGTGTGAGACGAGGGAAAAATATATATATAATATATGTATACCAGACTGATGCTCCCCAGAATGGAAATGGAGCCAGGGCCATAAGGCCCTGTTAAAAACAAACAAACAAAAAAAAAAAAAAAAAAAAAAAAAAAAGACACGTTGAAATCATTCAATTTCTCAGTCTTCTTAACTCCTCCTCCACTGCGCCTCTCACGTACAAGGCTAGCCACGTTGATGAAGTTGAGCGCGAGCTGCCCCCATCCCCGTATGCCCTAACAGCCCACTTGCGTGCTGTGTGAAAGAGGCAGAGTATAGGGAGAGGTGTTAAACACAAGGAAAAGAGGAGCAGAAAAGGAAAACCGATAGGTGAAGGGAAGGTGACACAACTTCTTCTTTCTTTTACTGTATTGTTCTTTCTTTCACAGTTTTGCAGTTTTGGTGAAGGGTCTACCACGTTTGCTTTTCAGCGCATCTGCACTTCCCTCTTTACTTTTTATTCTCATTTTCACCCTTGACTTTTTCTTTGAGGGTGTTAGGGTGCAGGGTACAAACAAAGTAAAATGACACAAACTTCTTCTTTCTTTTACTGCATTCTTCTTTCACTGTCTTGCAGTTTTAGTGAAGGGCCTCCCACTTTTGTACACTCGTTTCAGCGCACCTGCACCTTTTTGTTAAGCTGCAAGGTACGTCTGAGTAAGACCCTCATGACAGATATGATAACTATCATAAGGATGCGGCCGATGGTAGCAGCCCTCCCGCCGATCTATAGGACGATGACGAATCAGGCAAGCAACCTCGTCACAGAAGGAGCCAGGACAGCTAGCATCAACCATACCTCTGAAGCATGCACGGCAGAGGGCATGCCGGTTGCAGGCCATGACGATTGTGGGGCGCACTTAAGTGCATCTAGCGCCCTCAGGCACAGATGGGACATACTGCATCTGGATGTAGAGGATATTCACAATCCGGATACAGGTGGCATCCCTGCAGACAGCGGGCCCGAAAAATAATATGGTTGTAGTGACGTTGACAAAGTCGATGCTTTCCACAGCCAAGTGTAACTGTGTCAGTGGCCGCACAAAGAAGGAGGTCACAAAGGGTTAGCGCAGCATGTGGGGGAATAAAGACTGAAACAGGCACGGTGACAGACACGCAGGTAGGCACGGAGACAGAGACAGAGACCGGCACGGAGACGGGCACAGAGACCGGCGCAGAGGCCGACACGGAAGTACACGAGGTACGGTCAATAACCTGGAACAGTTGCAGATTAGGGTAATCACGCACGAGATCACTGATGGCAGTAATAGTTTGCGCCATAGCACCGCCACTCCATACTTCCCAAGAACCAGAGGCACGGACAAGAGCGGTGTAGTGGCCGGGAGTATGTAGAATGTAGGCACAAACGTGCGAACAGTGGTCCGGGTTGCCACCCGAAAGTGTATGCTGCATATCAAGTCGGGGCCTTATCAATGCATTCTCCAGAACAGAGACATTCAATCCCTCATGTCGAGTGTAGTTACTATCGTGTGGAGGATGCTGAGTCAGGTTGTCGCCATATAACTCACGCTCCCCAGCTTCAAGATCGGAAGCAATGGCTAAGAAATCAGAGTGAGTATATGGTTCCCGACGATAGGCTAGTAGGGTAGCAGCAAGGCCACACAGATTCGGTGGAGGGTGCTCAAGCGGGAGTTTCCACAGAATCCCCTACAGTCCCCTTGCCAAGTTCATCCTCAGATGGTCCCTCACCATGATCCCTCCTATTTTGTGCTTGTAGCGATGCAGAAAGGTCTGCAGTCGAAGAGCGTCGTAGTTGTGGCACGGATGCTGGGGGCGGCAAGAGACGGGGACGGGATGTTGGCGAGGGTCGTGATGGGGAGAATGACCGGGTTCTTCTTCGTCCAAGAACAAAGATGGAGGAAAGGGGAGTAAGCTGAGGCTGGGGAGTAAGTCGAGGCCGGCGTCCAGGACGGCGAAGTAGGTGTTCCGCAGGGGCAGATGAGACTGACGAAGAATAGGATGACGAAGTCTGTGTGGAGGAAGCCGTTCGTGGATCAGGAAGAGGGGTAACGGATGGAGACAAAACCAGGGGAGGTAGGAGTGGTGAAGACGGGGGTGGTGGAGTAGTAGGAAGGTGGGTAACAGACGAAGACAAAACCAGGGGAAATACGGGCGGTGAAGACGGGGGTGATGAAGCCAGGGGTGGTGAAGTGGTTGAAGAAGAGACAGGGGTTCAGTCACAGGTGAAACCCGAAGAGGGGACTCTGCAGGGGGCAATGCAGGCATGGCCACGAATGCCATGGAGGAACACACCAAGACCAAAGGCGGCACAGCAGCTGCTGGTCGAGTTGCGCCTGCGGAATCAATCGTAGAAGCAACCAAGGCCCATGAGGAAGAAGTCGTGAACCTAAAAGGGGCAGGCAGGGTCACAAACGGCATGGAAGGGGTTACTAAGACTGATGAGGACGCAGGTGCGACTGGTGCAGGTAATAAAGAAGAGGTTGTGGCAGATGTGACAGGTGCAAGTAATGAAGAAGAGGCCGTGACAGGCGTAGTCCGTGAGCAGCATGTAGATACACGAGAAAGTGGGTGGTGAATAGACCATTGAAGCACGTTGCGGAACCAGCTGGAGAGGCGGGTCACGTGCGCAGGGTACCTGTGTTGACATTTACGAATATAGGAAGTCCATCCTTTCGCAAGCGTTGTTGGAGAGTGCCCGCGAAAAAGCATGCGGCGTGTGAGCATCACAACTGCAGTTTTGAAATCATACCAGTTGTTGCAGACATACTAAAACCTAGTAAGCTGGCCTGTAAACACTCACACTGGCTGGTGTGCAAGGACGTTAGACGTACCACTGGGATAACAAATAACAGTGAAATTCCATTTGGCTGCTTTGTCGAAGACACTCATTCGCAGCGAACCGTCAGGGCGGACTTGGAGGCGTGCACCCAAGAATGTGCAAGAGCCATCAGGCGTTGTGGTCTCCTTCCATTCGATGCCATAGTGCTCTGACGGTGGTGGCAAATGTCCCCATGAGAAAACATCATCGATCAAGTGGTATGTGAACGCAAAACTGTTGAGCTGCGCGAAGATCACGCTGCTAGAGGCCATCAACAAAACGAGCCTCATCCCAATACAACGTCAAATTCGCTATCTCCGGACCAGAATTAGTCCCCATTGGGATGCCAATCAGTTGATGTCGCAAGGTGCCGTCCGCTGCATAAAGATACGTATTTGTGACAATGAAATGGAGATGTTCAAGAATTTGGGAAACGGACAAGGTGTTTGGTCCCGCATGAACCGTCCACTCTCCTTGACGGGGCCCTTTAACAATCATGTTAAGGGTAGGAGGATGTGTGCGCCCCTGCGTGTGCTGTTGTAAGGCATATGTATAGGCTTCCTCAACCGCTTTTGGTACATTATGACAAATGTGGTCACGGGGAGGATTGGTATACATAGTTGTGAAGTCGACAGTGCGAGGAGCATGGTCATGAAGAGAAGATGAATCACGTTTGAGATCAAGCATCACCTCCTCAGCGCTTTGCACGATCCAGCACCGTCCCACACCGTATTGCTGATACAACAGATTATCCTTCTCACAGAGAGTTTCAATAACTCCTTGTAGTGCAACACTGAGGTGGGCAAAAGTGATCGTAATACTGGCCAAGGGTTTGTGGGGAGGTCAGTTGTGGACTGCATGAACAGACGACACAGTTGATCGAGATCGCTGCGGTGGGGAGAGATTATTCCGCTCTGTGACGCCGACAAAATACTACGAAGCCCAAGGGGCAATTTGTGCGCTTTAAGTGCATAGTACAGATATGGCAGCGTGTCTTTGTGTATATCCCCACCGATCGTTCCAGAGCACGTGACCATCAAGAATATTTGCGACAGAGTCAAGAGGCACAGTATAGGTAGGGCTGTCCAAATGAGCAGATAGATGAGACACATACCAGTTTTTACAACTGATTGCCAAGTTATGTGAGGTCTTGTCGACAAGACCAATAGTGTTGTTGAAGGTGTCTCAAAGCCCTGTGCACTGAGTGAAGGGAGTGTGGTTGTCGTGTGCCAGTGTGGGAGGATGAGATGTTGCTTTGGCAACGTATAAGAACGGTCGAGCGCCACTGCTGCAATTTGTTCTGAGCTGCCGGCTGAAGTTGCTTGGAGACTGACCTCAGATATTTAGCAACATACTCGTCAAGACCGACTCTAACAGCCTAAAGCAGGTAATGAAGAAGAGGCTGTGACAGATGTGACAGTAATGAAGAAGAGGCTATGACAAGCGTAGTCCGGGAGCAACGTGTAGATAAACGAGAAAGTCGGTGGTGAATAGACCATCGAAGCATGCTGCGGAACCAGCTGGAGAGGCTGGTCACTTGCGCAAGGTACCTGTGTTGACATTTACGAATATAGGAAGTCCATTCTTTCGCAAGCGTTGTTGGAGAGCGCCCGCGAAAAAGCATGCGGCGTGTGCGCATTGCAGCTACAGTTTTGAAATCAAACCAGTTGTTGCAAACATACTCAAACCTAATAAGCTGGTCTGTAAACACTCGAACAATTCGGTACGTGCGCCACTCTGCGCGTCCCCCCGCCCTCGATCACCTTCATCCGCCGGCCCTCACGAAAACTTCGACCCGATTTTGGACTGCAGCGGTGGACCATCGGCCTCCCCCCCAGGCAATGTTGCTTAAGGGGTAGGATAACGACTGAATGGATAGGCAATCCCACAATCAAATAGTATATACATATTTGATGATACATCTATATATTAAAAAATAATTAGGAGTAAATATTTTTTCTTACATTTATATGTTTCTTAAGTATCTCATGCGACATGCACTGCATCTCTCTCTCTCTCTCCCTCTCTCTCTCTCTCTCTCTCTCTCTCTCTCTCTCTCTCTCTCTCTCTCTCTCTCTCTCCCACACACACACACACACACAACCGTACGATGTCTCTCTCTCTCTCTCTCTCTCTCTCTCTCTCTCTCTCTCTCTCTCTCTCTCTCTCTCTCTCACACACACACACACACACAACGGTCTAAACAATGAAGCGCCTTTCTTGAAAGGCTTGTGTGGCACTTGGCTGGGCTGGCAGCTGAGATAGCAACCAGTAGATGCATATGCAGTGCATGTAGTCCATTGCATCTTCCTTGCATCCAACAAGTGGGTGACAGCAGACTCTCATTCCTTTCAGCAATAGCTAACAGTTGGCTCTCATTGCATCTCCTCTTTGCCGAGCAAAAGACTTCAACCGGCTTTGGAGGAAAAGAACGAAAAAATTCCACCTGGAATTCGACATTGTGTGTGACAAAGAAACCCATCTCAATTCTGAAAAAACGAAACAACCTCAAAGAGGAGGGGCAAAAGAAATCTCCCCTGAAAGATAGCAAAAGACAAGGCAGGCGGTCGAAACATCGAAACATCGAAACAACAAAACCACAAAACCACACACACACTGTCTACAAACCAAAAAACAAGAACAAGTTACAGAAAATTAGAAATCCATATGTATGTATCTGGCATATATAGATATAGATATAGATATAGATATAGATATCGTCAAACGAGCTGCCTGGTAAACTGTAGGCAGAGAGGGAGAAGAGAGGACAACAAACGAGGGGCTGTGACGGACAGACAGACAGACTGTTTCGTCGGAGTTTCACCGACTCACACATAAAGAGGCAAGGACAGATTTGACACTCATGTAGTGCATGTCTCCTGACCAGATTGTGAGCTAGATACATTCCCAAATTGCTCTCGAGGAAAGAACATCCATACCCTCTATACAGTAGAACCCGTAGACGCAATTTGGGATAAGTCAGGGTTGTCGCTTGCGGCGGCAGTTCTGCGATGGCTTCCCCACGCGGTGCAAATCTGCATCTACAGATCAAACAAATCGGGACAAACAGACTCGTGGATGCAATGATGCATCTATGATCTTCTGTAATCATGGCCACAAGATTAAGCCCAAAAAGCCGGACTGCATGTATACCCTGAGTGGGCAAGACATGTCCTCATCCCCTATATGATATGCAATCACTCATTCTCCCCTAAACAATAAACTAACCAAGTGCAGTCATCGCAACATGAATGAACGTAGCATAAAATATGATGCGGATACTTGCCAGAAGGTCCAGAACTTCCCAGCAAGATTATAGATGAGACTAAACAACATTAAAAAAACTTGACATGGGTAGACACTCGACAGATTGTTTCGTCGCTTTACAGACATATCTACATCGCCCTGTCGAGCATTGAGTTTTCA